GAAGCGACCAACATGAATTTGACCCAACTCTGGGAGGCAGTGGAAGACGGGAGGGCCTGGTGTGCTCTGGTCCATGGGGTCACAAAGAGTCGGACACGACTTAACAACTAAGCAACAATGTTAAAGAAAAGCAAAATATATAAAAATATCAGAACAATCCAAAAGCAGTTTGGGGTGGAAACCATTCACAGTAAGAAAATACAGTATGACCCCCATATCCACGGAGAATTGGTTCCACCCCACGGATGCTGAAAAATGTGGATTACAGAAAACCTCCCCATTCCCAAACCAGACACCCGCCTTGCCCTCGCCAACTGTCCAGGACCTATAGGGACAAATCCTCTCCCCCGGCCCCTGCGATTCTCGTAAACCCAACTGTTACCCAAAGTGAGGGCAAAGTGCAGAGGCTACCTCCTTGGGAGAGCCACTTACCTGCATGCTGAGCTGTTGTTAGCATGTTTTCAGGCCTCAATGGAGACACACACACCCCAATCCTGCTTCTTGCCTAGATCACCAGGCACCGACACTTTTTTTAAACTTCTGGGTAAACCAGCAGGCAGGAGGAGCCTTTGCTGCTGCCTCCAAGGAGAAAGCTTGCAAGAGGAAAGGCCTTACACAGAGACCATGCTATGTATTCTTCATAGCACAGTCTCTCTAGCTCCATCTTATGGCCAATTCTGGTAAAATGTGAATTTTTTTCTGCATTTTTTTTACTATTTAATATTTGCAGACTATGGATAGGTGAATATCATTGGATACTGATCCCACGAACAAGGGGGTCCTACTGTAACAAATTATCTGGTGTTCATTTTCCTGGGGAAAAGTGATATCGACAGCAGTTTCAGCTCCCATCTCCCTTTGCTTGCCTTTCTTGTTCCCTGGTAAAAACTGAAGCAAAAATGGTCACTGGAGAGAATGCTTGAATGTTTCAAGGGATTTGCATGTATTTGCTTGGAAAATGTTAGAATCCCTCCAGGCTTTGCAGCCAGGTTGTTGAAATGTGCAGTTACACTGACTTTAAGGGGCAAACAAACTGTGTAGTCATGATCATAAAATAGTTTGCTTTGTGTAATGAAATTTCAAAAGGTTCTTCTGGAACCCTGTATTATTTTTTATCAGCTTGCTGCATTCTCTTCCAAAGAGAAGCCTCAAGATGGAGTAGAATAACAGACTGATGTGAAGTGGTTGTTTGAAATCTTATCCTGTCTACCTGTGGAAAGAGATTTTTTGATTGGATAGCTAGGAAGATATGGTTAGGACAGTTTGATTTGCTTGTTTCTCCTGTTGGAAAAAACATGGGCTTGAGAGCCTGATAGTATAAGATTTTTGGATAGAATATCCTTAACTTGTGAATTAATTTATAAATATAGCTTGTAATCTTGTAGATTGCTGTTACGATTAGTCCAATTGTACAAATAATTCATTGTATTATGTCTTATTAACCCAGTGCATTGTCATGATCATCAGGACATGCAAATATTCTCCGGTTCTTTCAGTTGGCTAATTCTTATACTGTATTTCATGCTATATATGTATCAGTTATGAGCCATCAAGGTAGAACCAACTACTAGTTACATTCCTTGTTCTCTAACAGTAATCAGTTACTTACAAGCTATAGTTTAAATAAATATAATGGTTGGTTTTGGTATATGCAGATAAAGATGCATAGTACTTACCTCAGTGGTCCTTACGTGAGTCCAGTGAAAAAATGTAATTTTCATTTTATAAAGCAATCTTATCTGCAGATAAGGGAATATGACTTCCTTTTGGCACCCAGTGGATGTGTGCCTGTACAGCTCTGTAGCCAAAGTGTTAGCTTGGCTATGTGGAGAAAGGTGGCATATAAATAACATAAAGGGGAAAAAAAACCTATGATGAAGTGGACTTGCCATGAAAGCTCAAATTGAATTAAAATATAGCAGTTAAGTCTTTTAGGCGCCATGTTTTTGTCTTCTTTTTTTACTTTTCTTTTGTTTTTGGTTGATAAATAAATGAATGAAAAATAAATATCGATCCAGAATCAGAGACAATTGTCAGGGTCCACTACCATAGTATGTGTCACAAATAACGGGTAAAATCCTCGTTTTTTCCCTCCATTATTCATATACTGCCATTTTCCCCACAGGGGACCCAAAGCATCCCCACTTACTGCTTAAAAGTTTGCCTGAAAAGGAAGGTCTTTGCCAGAGAACTCTACATTGGCGTAACTCAAATGAGGTGCCAAAAACACTTAACTTAAACTCATGGAAAAGTTCTTATCACCCACTGTCAGGTTCTGGGGTTTCCCTAGGGGTCTTTTTTAACTTTTAATAACTTAAAAAATCACTACTGTTAGATTTTGGGCCATTGATAGGGGTTTTCTCTTTTACTATTAAAGTCCCTCCCACTCACCCTCACTGTCCTGAAGTTACCAAAGGATTTCTCCAGCCAAAAGGGAGCCCTAGAAAGCTTCAGGACCTGACAGGGATAGACTTTGAGTGAGTTTAAATGTCTCTGGTGCCCAATCTGAGTTATGGTGGAATAAAGTTACAGCACTGTTTCTAATAATAACAAAACCTGTTGGTAAGGATTTATAAATAATTAATTTAATGTTTAAAAATCATTATTTATTTACAGCTAATTAATGCAGTGAACACATTAGACAGAGATGTTCTTAATCAACTTCATGTGCAGCTCATGGAATTGAGAAGCTGTAAAGGATACAAGCAATGCAACCCAAGAACACGGAATATGGAACTGGGTAAGGACTTTCGAATGTTTCCTTTTGTTAGAAGAAAGGGTTCAACTATCAGTGATTGCCCTTTTGTAAAAAGATAGTGTATGAAGCTTTAACGCCTTTCTGTAAGCAGGTTACACATAAACAGCTTACAGAAATATTTTTATCTATAATTTGCAGCCTAGGAAGTTTCCTGTGAATTTTGCTAGTATCATTATAAAAGGCTATGGGAGAGGAAACTTCACAAAAGACCATCCATTCCCCAAATTTAGCAAGGGTCATTGTAGGGTGACAGATGAACAGGAATACGTTCCTGTGGAAGGGCAAGGTTAACAGCTCACAGATGGTGAAGACAGGTGGGCTCACATATCACATTATGCTAGTTTTAGTGAAACAAACCATGGTTTGTTGTGACAGCCAGTGCAATCAATGTGCAGGTCCTTAATTCAGTGCTGAAATGTGTAGATTCCACTTCTTTGCACATGGTAGCTGATGTGGTGAGCTTACTAGGAACCCGCAATAGATATGTGCTCACCTTTAAAAGCAAAGTGTACGGCTTATATACTGCCCCATAGTGGGGCAGTCCCTGAGCAGTTTACAAGTTAATTATGCAGGCTACACATTGCCTCTCCAGCAAGCTGGGTACTCATTTTACCGACCTTGGAAGGATAGAAGGCTGATTCAACCTTGAGCAGGCTACCTGGGATTGAACCCCAACTCGAGAGCACAGTTTTGGCGGCAGTACAGCGGTTTAACCACTACGCCACAAGGCTTTCTTTAACTGACTTACATTATTCTTTTATCGTCTTCCTGCTGTCTCTGCTGAATAATCAGCATGTTTTCCTCCATTTAGGCCTTAAAGATGGAAGCTATGAGCAATACAGGTACTGCTTAAACTACAATTCCTTCTAAAGTTATCTCCATGTTGGGTACTGAAGTGGGGAGGGTGAAAATTAAAATATTCTGGGTGACTCTCTAAATTTAAATTCCTCTATGGTAGTAATATATGCTCTTATGGCGCATACTACATATATTTTTCTTTCCATTCTTCTGTGTTGTAATGCTGATTGTTTTCTTGGTGATGGTTAACTTTTTTCTTCTTTTATGACTGAAATATTAGGCAGTTTCAGCGTCGAAAGTGGCCAGAAATGAAGAGGCCTTCGTCTTCCAAATCATTGTGAGTTGGAAACCCACTCTTGCAAAATCCCTAGATTTAACCATTTTGTCCTCCTCTTTTTCTTGCATGTATTACACATACACAGCTTTCTCTCTTCCCATTCTTTAAAACATCTTTCCCCCAGTGAATTGCTTGTGAGAATAATGGCTCTATTTGCCATATTAAATCAACATCCTTCACAAAAAAATTCAATGAAGTTATGTTCAGAAGACAGTCAAATTTTAAAACTGGATTGAAGAACTACAAATACAAAGTAGTGCATTGTGGACATATACAATTTTTCCTTAGGAGTTAGAGATTTGACATAGATTGAACTAGACTATGGTCCAAGGTAGCAATCTTAAGACCTTATGTTGCTTCTAAAATGATTGTTAGATGTCTGAATGAACTAACAGTCAAGTTTGTATATTATAAAAAGACAGTATCCTTGTCCTTGTATGCACTGCATTTGCCCAGATAAACCTATTATTTTTGTTATTTCAAAGCAAGTAGCCCAAGTCCAAAGTATAAATTACTGTCCAGTTAGCCTTATTGCACTAAGACTCTTTGGAAGGGGGAAAAAAACGATAAGCAGCCCACGTGGACAGAATGTCAAACTGTTCTGGCTGAGAAGATACCGTGTGTTTTCTGTGTGAAAAGTGGGATCATATAAATCAAAGGTCCGTAGCCACTGGTCTGTGGCCCAGTGCCAGTCTGCGACCTGAGCCAGACTGGGCCGTGGAGACAGACCTCCTCCCCCACCCCCACACGCACTCCCCCCACACAGCCCATTTGCACCTGTGTGCGAGCGTGCCCGCATGAACACCGCGCTGCCCTTTGCACATGTGCATGAGCGTGAGCATGCCCATACGAGTGCCCCTTGCTCCTTTGCGCATGTGCAGAAGCGTGAGTGCACACACTCCTTTGCCCATGCATGCTCAGGGGGGTGCCCCGCCTTTCCCAGCCGGTCCACGGGGCTAAAAAGGTTGGGGACCGCTGATTTAAATGACCCATATTTGTTAAAATGAAACGAGTGTAATGGCAACATCTTTGTTGAGGAGCATATCAAATTAAAATGTCAGTTGCAGCAAACAACATCTTTTGCTTCTAGTTTGGTGGTGCCTAAGGGCTAAAATCCAATAGTAAGCTGAAACTTGAGTAGGCCCATTGAATCAATGGGGAGTTGGTGAGTCAACTCCTCCATAAATCCCACTGACTCAATGGGCCTACTCTAGCTGCAACTTACTACTGGATTTCAGTCAGCATCTTTCCCTTCTACAGAAAAGACATATTGACTGAAAATACTCTGTTTTAATGCCTGTCTTACTAAAAGGCAATTAATAGTCTCTGTTGTTTCAATTTTACAGAGGACAACTTTGGGATGGCTGGGAAGGCTGAATTCCTGCAACTGCTGGACCTCAGTGAGGAAAAAAACTGGCCAGAACTTGAATTCCTTGTATAGACTTTAATGAAAGTGTATATGATTTCAGACTGAATTATGGTGTTAAGCCTGGAGGACTGGATGAACTTTAATGCTAAAGTAGATAGGGTTTTTGCACTGTTATGCAAGCCAAATAGATACAGTGATCTTCTGGAAACTACTGTCATCAAGAATATGTATCCTTTCTTGAAGCCTACCCGTTTACCTGCTTTTGCTTTGGATTATACCTCACTTGCTTCACAAGCTATTCTACTTCTGATCAGTCACTGCAGAGACTACTCTTAAGAGATGACAGTGGAAAAAGTGTGAATGGCCCATCAAAACACTTAGAACCTTAAAGTCCAAAAGCACACACAAGAATTTTTCAGTTGTAACCCATCCATTTTAATCTCCATTATCAAATGGTATCAGAAGGACAACCTTATGAAGATGCTAATCTGGATATTTGTTTCCTTTGTGGCTTAGGCAAGTCTGTGTTAGCAAAAATGGTAGGAAACAGTAATTAAAGGATGCCTGGATTTCAGGAAGACAATATCAAATAATTGCACAGATTCAGAACAGTAACAGCCTACTCTTTGTCTACTACAGTAACCAATTTGGTTCACAGTTCACTCATCTGCCTTGAGGCCGACAGGAAAAACAGAAGGCAATTCAGAGAACCCAGCTTCCAGCATGATACTGTAAATAATCAGTGTCCTGTTCAAAAGAAATCAAGCCTAGAATTTTGTTACCGAAGTGTTGGCATGCCCCACTACCACTTCTGAAAGTTTCACCTCATTGCATTGCATAATGAAACTTAAGAATCTGTCCATTTTCAAAAGCTGCAAAACTAAAGGCAGTTTATGTATGTCTTGAATTTTAACAAAGTTGGATTTGTATTATGTCTTTGTGATTATATTGTACGTTCAAAAACCAAAATTACTACTATAAAAAGCACTTGTTTACTTTTATATGTGAGTTTGTGTGTGTTCTGAATGATAGCAGCAATGAAACCTTTTATTTCATTCGTCAGTTTAGCTACAGTTTATGATGGATAATGTGCAGAATACAATAGAACAAGGTGGACAAATCATTGGTATGGAGTTGTGGGCGCTGCAGTCTAAAAAATATGCAGAGGACCACAGTTGCCGACCCCTGCATTAAAACAAGCAATGATGTGAGAGAGCCTTTATGGCGTCCATTAGTGAGCAGATGGCCATTCTTTAATCAATACAGTGCTACTTAACAAAAAACACCACTAATATAGACTGTGTTCCCCAAACTGCTACCCAACGCAGTCATGTGAATTTTACTACAAGATGCACCAGCTATCTGAATCTATCCAGTCCCAAGTTTCACGAACCATTTTCCTTCTGTCATTTCTGGCACCATTATGTTTACACTGAGAGACTACCAACTATAAAAAGAAGAAACATGCACCTACTTTTGTGTCTGAGGACCATCTCAGGATGCAAATTATAAGCAATGGATACATGCAGTTGCTTTTTACATTTTTCACAACTGCTATACTTAAACATTATTGAAGACTGAATATAGCAATAAAAACTGAGCTGTTATGTGGGTTTAATACAGGATGTCATTAATGGTTTGGTGTTCCTGTTATATATTACAATAGACTGCATTCCAGTCAGTGACATTCATTAAGAATTCCCTTGTTTGGAAAATGGGTAAAGTTAGTTATACTCCCAGTTAACCAAAACAGAGCAGACAGAAACAGAACCAAATTGGATTGTAGGTATATTTCAATGTGAATTAGTAGGAGGAAGAAAATTACTGTATTGATTTCTTTGATAAATGAGAACCTAATTAAGCCAACAAGTTCCAGTTTCCAATAGAAATGTTTATTTTCATTATTATTAACAGCCAAACAAAAGAAAATGCCCCCTGCAAAAAAAAACAACCCACAAAACCGTGTGACCCACCCTTTTTTTAATGTCAGCCCACGAACAGGACTTTCTGCAATGTAAAGACCAACTATTACAAGCAATACTTAATGTAAACTAATTTCAGATTCAACTCTCAATACTGTATGCCTTTCTCCTGAGATATTAAAAAATATTGCTCTCAGTTGAATGGTTTCATAATTGCTGCATTGCTGTCACATGACAGCCTGCTACTTAATTCTGTGTGCTAACTTCTGCAACATTCAAAATTTGTTACAAAAAATGAAAATAAAATAAAAACAGAGTAAAGACGGAAAAGTTCCTCTACATCCTGACACATACTGTGTTTGATAGCTCATAGGATGTGGTGAAATGGATTTACTTGGGAGACAATGAGTTCATAAGGCACTGAAACCAAGATAAGCTTATTGTCCCATTCAGCCATATTTGCTGCACCATTAGGCCAGTCCACATACCATATGATCAACAGTCCAGATACCGGGACCGCACTACAGCAGGATTCTGGGTCTTTAATTGCACACTGTTTTGATTCATTGTAAGCAACAGATCTTAGAATATTCTTGATAATGCCAATTCAAAGCATAATTTTTAAAATGTGCAATGACTTTTACATCAAGCTTTGAATACTCTTTGGAAACAGCAAATAGTAGCTACGGGGGGTGGGGGGAGATACCAGAACATTAACTAGTGATCAGCAGATGCCACTACATGTCAGAAATTCCAACAGAAACACTCCAAAATTAAGAAAGCAACACATTTTTAAAACATGACAGATCACAGCCAAAGTAATTAGAGCTCACAGTTGACACCAATATCCTCAACACCTATAAAAGATAAGATATTGTCTACACTAATTTTATAGGCCCTTGGAATCTTTTACCATGAAGTTGCAGTGGTAGAATCAGCTGTTGGCTTCTGAAAAGCTGAAAATATTCCTTCTACAAATTATAAGGGTCTACAACGATATCTAAATGAATGCCCCAATTAAGCACCATGTGTGCAACTTATTTTCTTGCTGAGTTTAATGCTAGGGCCAGTTGCACATCCACAGTGAGATGTGTATGTAAAGTTTAAGCTGATTTATACTTCAAATAAAAGCATAGCTTTTGTATAAAAAATTTAAAAAACAAATAAAAGCATAGCATTTTAGAAATCCTTAAAACTGTATATGACCCTACGTATGGATAGTTTAAAAAAAAAACAAGGAATCTCTTGGGCACGTGGGGAAAATCAATGAACAGATCAGAACACCTGACAGAATTCTTAACCAGAACCCAACTAGTTGGAGTACAACTTAACTGAAACTTAATAAAATGCCTGGGTGAATTACTCAGACCAGGAAGTATTAAAATCTGCACTTGGGATAGTAGCTTTTGGGAGAGGAAAGAATAGAGAAACTTTTGCAGTAAATAATTCCACCTCACCAGACAGAATTTTGAGCTTTTGCAACAGGAAACCTAACTCCCATTGTGAATAAAAGTACAAAATCACCAGTTTACATTGTCAGCAGGAACTAGATTGAATATGCAATGGAAATAGTAAAAATACACACCACACTACTTCAGATATTTTGGCATGCCTTTCTGTTAAAATATCTTGCTATAAATAACTATAATATGTGGGTGTGTTTTTTGGGGGAGGAGTCAAGGGAATCTGTATTCATCCTTATTTATATGACATAAAACTGACACAAGTTCATTATGATTCTGACTTCCCATGTATCACCAATATGAAGGAAACTACTTAGAAAATAAATATATATTTTACCAGTACAGCAATTAAATGCAATACACATTATTAATTGCCACAAAGAATTTTAGATATTTATGTAGCATTAGATGTGCCTCCTGGCAATAGAAGACATTTAACACACACGAAAACAAGTTCAGAACAACATTGAGGCTTCATTAAAAGTTCATCAAATATCCTAGAGCAGAGGCCCTTCCACTGAAAAGACAGGTTATATTTTAAAAATTCACAAACTGGTATGACAAAAGAGCAATTTTTGTCATTAAATTGTGTTATGTAAGAAAAAGTAACAAAGTGCACACATAAGGTGTAGAGAAAATATTAAAAGACCACTAAGATACACAGAAATGATCTTTTTAAAAGCCATTGCATACAAGATCTAAATAAACTGCTGGAAACCATGGGGCGGGGAGATAAGGGCCACAGTTACCCAATTCCAAAAACATTTAAATAAAAAAATCTATTAGAACAATTTTGACTTGAGTTTACAGAATTTCTCTTTGTTAAATATTTAGCTTCACAAACTCTGCAAAAATGAGTTAGTGGCCTACAAAAGTCATATATATATATATATAATACAGCATTTTAACATCATATTTACAAAACATTATTCACAAAGAGAACTCTTCAAACTGCAATCCCTTGCCTTGAGTTTTATTAAGATGAATAGCAAAAAATACGATTATTGCTCAAAACTTTTCATAGCAGAAACATATATAACAGTAATTTAGCTTGTCTTGGAAGGGGACATGGACTTGCCTATTTTTATACCGACCCATTCCTTATTAAAAGTATTGCATTGACCCGTTGTGTACAGCATTTTATAAAGTGCGCAAAGCTGCACATCAATATTGAAATATTTATCATGATTATACACGTTATTCTCTCCATAACCCTTTGGTATCAAAGAGCATGATTTGGACAGTGTGGCTGTCACTTGTACACCAAGACTTGCCAACACCAGGAAACAAGATGAAAAGAAGCATGATTGTTCAGTTTTCTTTTGTCTTTTAAATCAAGGCCAGGAATTACACTGTGTCAGAGACTCTTACTATAGAACTCAAGACTATTATACCAAGGTTTCTCCAGGCACTTTGGTCTGCCTGTAGTTAAGGGCTTTGGAAAGCTACAGTAAACAGAACTGATACACAGAGCCCACCCATCACATTTGCTCAAATACAGTTGCCAAATTCATGTCACTAGAGGCAGAAAGCCAAAATAATACGTGATTTTCTTTCTCATATTATGGAGTGATATTTCACTTGTAATCCTCCACTGCCCCCACCCAAAAGTCCATAACTTAAGAAGTCACTTAGGACATCTCCATTGAAAAGAAGTGGCATTTCCACAAGGCCAGTACTTGTTGTCATGACGTTCACGTGCACTCTTCTGTAATACTTAATCATCATATATCATATTTGCATATTACGGCTGCAGATGTCAGCATTATTTCTGTGACAAAAAATAAGGATAAGAATATTATGAGACAAAACTTCTGTTGCTGATTTGAAGACTAAGGAATAGAAGTGCAAATCAAGTGGTAATCAGTAGTTTAGAAAACAGAGATTGACTTTGATGAGGAAAATATGTGACTGGTAGTTACAAGCTGCTGTACTTTGAAGGCTAGGATCTCAAATATGAATGGATTTCTTGAGTAAACTTATTAAGTGTTTTTGCCTGTGACAACTTTCCCAAATTAGTAGCTTCACTCCTCCTAACAGAGCTACAGGACTTGGCAGGCTAGCAGAAAGAAGAAAGCAATGCACAGTGATAAAAGATGACAGATGAAAAGGTTGAAGACCATCTGTGAATAATCTACTGCAGCAGAAATTTAAGAGGCTAGGCAAGTCTTGTAATCTATACATGAACAAACTGTTACTGACATCTTACCTGGTCTGGACCCATGGGCATTCCTGTCATAGGTATTGTATTAATGTTCATTTGCCCCATATGACCACCATTGCTGTTCATGTGCAACATATTGTAAGCTGCAGGGTTTCCTGGATGGTTGAACTGTTGCTGTGGAAAAGAACTAGAAGATACAAAACCAAAACAAAAGATGTATTTTACGAGTCTTTTCATATTTCACTTCAGCGACTGGCACAATACAAGTATAATAGCAATAGAAAGATTATAGAAAAAAAGCAATAGAAAGCAATAGAAACTGCATTACTTCTACAATCCCAGTCCTTGTCAAAGGAAATAAAAGTGTCACACATTTAGCTATTTTAAAAATGTCTGTAAAATGTTAATGTAAAGATCAGTTTTCTTATTTTCAGATCATGATATGTTTTGCTCAAAGTCATTAAAATTTTGTGGGGTGGCAACCAAATGAAATGGGATGCAGACAAAGCTAATATTACTAATATTGTTCATTATCTCTGGGTCTGTATACCCTTTCACCTGGTCCCCCAAACCACACACAGTGGCTCAAATCCTGTTGCACGTAGTAAATCTCACTAGAGTGAGATTCCGTGAGTGGGGATTCCGTGAGCCAACTGATCCAAAAATTCCACTGATTCAAACGAGCCTACTCTAACTGCTACTATGTTAAAATAAGTTAGTTCCAATCAATGGAACTTACAGAGCAGCTAACTTACCAAGTCCATTCATTCCATGAGCAAAGTGAGCTGCTTATATACTGCCCCACAGTGCTTAAAGCCCTATGTAATGCAGTTTAACCTCTGCACCACAAGGTAATAGAATTTTGGCCAGAGTATATAAATTGTTGGCCTAAATATTGTATCCCCATTACTGAGGAACTGGATTGTAATTCACAAAATTTCACACTAATATAAATCTCTTTGTCTTAAAGTGCCACAATATTTTGTGTTTTAGTTGTGTTTGTTTATTTTTCTTTTATGCTTGCTGAGACATGGCTAACTCTTAAACTCAGACAAAGAAAACCCTTAAAAGGCTTCATATTTTTAGTGTACATTAAGGAATTTAAAGTAAAATTTAAAAATATTCTGTAATACAAATATCTATCTCATCACAAAACAGGGTGGGAGATAACTGTGTATGAGAGATCATCTTAAGAGGCTGTAAAGGTAAAGGTTCCCCTTGACATTTAGTCCAGTCACTTCTGACTCTAGAGAGCAGTGCTCATCTCTGCTTCCAAGACGTAGAGCCAGCGTTTGTCTGTAGACAGTTTCCATGGTCACATAGCCAGCGCAACTAGACACGGAACGCCGTTACCTTCCCACCATGGTGGTACCTATTTATCTACTCACATTTTTACATGCTTTCAAACTGCTAGGTTGGCAGGAGCTGGGACAAGTGACGGGAGCTCACTCTGTCATGTGGATTCGATCTTACAACTGCTGGTCTTCCGACCTTACAGCACAGAGGCTTCTGCGGTTTAACTCGCAGCAGCACCACGTCCCTTAAGAGACTGTAATGTTTTTAAAATAATGTAATTTAATCTTTAAAAATTACTACAGGCGTGTCTCCGTTTACGTATGCCTCGGTTTACATAATTTTCAGTTTATGAGACGAAATCTGTAAAAAATGCTGCCTTGGTTTATGTTTTTATGGGAGTTTTTTCGCTGTACGAAAGGGACACATCATGCCTGGAGATTTCTAGTGTCGGCCCCATTGTTTACGTAATTTCCTCATTATTTAACATTCCGGATGATGGATTAATTTCATAGGGTGAGATATTACTATATTTCAGTTTATTTAAAACGAAATACCTACAAATAACTGTACTTGAAGGCTTCTTTCAAAAACACATCTGAGATTCTCCCTCTCACCTGCTCCTGGCCATATTTCCTGATGGCCAGCCCTTCATCTCAGGAGAAGGATATATTGGTGTAGCCTGAGGATGCTGCATCATGGGATTTTGAGAAGGACCTATTCTCTGAGCCATCATAGGATTCGGGGGACTCGATACCCTGCCAAAGGCTTGATCTGGCTGCTGGCTCATTCCTGAAAAAGCAAATTAGACAGTAATTTGTAGTTGTTTTTAAAACTGTTATGACTTTACTTCATTTTGCTGAAACAGAAAATGTCTCAAAAGTTGTCTTTACAAAATTGTACAGCTGCTCAAGCATATTCCACTTAATATGGAACTCTGGCAAATAGAAAGGTTACTTACCTGTAACCATGGTTCTTCAAGTGGATCTCTGTGAATTCACACATTCCCACCCGGCCTCCCCACTATCCATCACTGCTTCTTTTGTAGTGAGCTCTTGCTCTAGCAATGGCGGATAAATGGAACTGGAGGCGGGGAGGGAATGGAGCATGCGTGCTAGGGGCAACCTAAACTTTGTATCTTTTTCAGAAAAGCTCTAGAAGGTTCCAAAGTTCCGTGGTCTCTGTGAATCACACATTTGGGTGACTGACAAGCTAACTTACCGGAAGGAGGGCTGTCACTGCAGGACAGATGTCAAGACAGCCCTTCCAAAACTCGTCTCCTTCTTTGACCAAAGGTCCAGCCTTTAGTGGGTGACAAATGTGGACACTCTGGACCATGTAGCAGCCTTGCAGATGTCTGGAATGTCCACCCCACGTAGTAAGGCAGTCGATGTCGCCATGGACCTTGTGGAATGTCGTTTAAGACCTTCAGGCACATCTTTACTTGCCAGTTGGTAGGTAAGAGTAATGATGGAGACAAGCCACCGTGACAAGGTAGAAGATGATGCTGGACAACCCTTGTGTGGTCCAAAGAAGCACAGGAAAAGTCTTTCAGATTTTTGAAAATCCTTTTGTCCTGGAAACATAATATGCTAAGGCCCTTCTATCATCTAGGGAATGGAGCACCTTCTCGACGTCAGACAAAGGATCAGAAAAAAAGGTAGGTAACGAAATAGGTTGTTTGAGGTGAAAATCTGTAACAACTTTAGGCAGGAATGAAACATCTGGAAACAGCATAACTTTGTCATTATAGAATTGCAGGTAAGGAGGATCAGACCTTAGGGCTGCCAACTCACTTGATCTTCTAGCAGACGTAACTGCAACTAGAAACAGAGTCTTTAGGGAAAGAAACTTAACATCACAGGAAGCCATAGGCTCAAAGGGATGTTTCGTGAGTGATTGCAGAACCAATGTAAGGGACCACTGAGGTACTGGAGGTCGTGTAGGCGGGCAAATGTTGATTAGACCTTTTAAGAATGCTTTCAATGTAGGATGAGAAAAGAGACGTGAAGATTCTGAGTCCCTAGGTTGGAAAGAGACTATTGCAGAAATGTACACCTTGAGGGTTGACAAGCTAAGGCCGAGATCAAAAAGATGTTTGAGATAAAGGAGCAAAGTCTGTAGGGAGACTGGAGAGGTCTGGAGGTTTCTGGCAGTGCCAAAACAAATTATTCATATTTGTATAAGAGGATAGTAAATGGTTTTTTGGATTTGTCTAACACCTCTTTGATTTCAGGCAGATCCTCCATGCAGCCAGTCCAACTCCGGGTGTAGAACATTCCCTGAATTCTGCGTCAGTAGATGTGTACAAGTGGAAGTCTGAATACTTCGGTGGCCAACACCTCCAGAGTAGGGAACCATGATTGACGTGGCCAGTATGGTGCTATGAGAACTGCTGACAACTTCTGCTGTCTGATCCTGACTAAAGATCTTTGGATCAGAGGGATTGGTGGAAACAGGTACAGAAGGTGGTCCTGCCATGGTATCTATCATGAAGGCATCTCCCTGGGAACTGATGCCCCTGCCTGCTCAAGATGCATACCTCTCGCACTTCCTGTTCATGTGCGAAGCGAACATGTTGATGGTTGGCTGGCCTCATCTTCTGCACAGCATCTGGAATACATTGTCGTCCAGTTCCCACTCGTGGGATTGTCCCTTCCGGTGACTCACCTCGTCTGCCAGTTGGTTTTCCGATGTGGATATGTGGATTGCCACTGGATAAATGTGATGGTGGCAACACCACTCCCACAGGTGCACTGCAAAGTAGAGAAGGGACAAGGACCTCGTCCCGCCCTGCTTGTTGATGTAATACAAGGTCGTGGTGTTGTCTGTTACAACTTGTACACCACGACCATGTATCAGCGGCAGGAAGGCTCTGAACGACTTGATCACTGCTAGCATCTCCAGGTGGTTGATGTGGCAATGTGATCAGAGGACATGTATGGTATGACCGTTGCAATGAGCTCCCCAGCCTGTGGGGCTCGCATCTGTTGTTACTTGTGCAGAAAGTTGCAAAGGTCAAAATGGGCGGCCCATTAGTAGATGGGGTTGGAAATCCCACCACTATACGTTGTTTTGCCAGCTCTGGGGTGACTAGGATCTTCTTCCTCAGATCCACTAACATTGGGTCGAAATGATGGAGAAACCAAGCCTGTAGCGAGTGCATTTTTAGCCTGGCATGTGGTAAGGATGCTGTAGTTGAGGCCATGAGACCCAGCAGATGTTGCGCATGATGTGCTGATACCAGGGTGTGTGGTTGAAACTTTTGAAGAGTAGTCTGTAGTTTGTAGATGTGCTCTGGAGGAAGAGAGAGCCTTGCCTTTCTGGAGTCCAGTATTGCTCCTATGTAACTCATAACTCGAGATGGCTTTAGGGTAGATTTCTCGAAATTTATGGTGAGCCCTAGACTTTGTAGAGTGTGGAGAGTGAATGTGGTGT